AGATGCCCGAAAATGGCACTCTAGATTGTAACAGACATGTGTTGGCTTGGCGTGGGCCTTTTTTTATATATTTTTGACTGCCCGACAGGCTCTGTCCAATGGGGAGGGGGTGCTTGACCTGTCCGGTGGGCCCTCCGCTGACGCCGCTAGGAATGTCTGAAATATAAGGTTATTATTGCATTGTTTTAATATCATTCGAATTCATTCACATAGATTTGCAAACAATTGGAGATTCTTGGAAAATCAAAGGCCTCATCAGACATTCTCAGTAAGTTTTTGGTTTATTTTTGTAGTAACATTGGCCAAAAATTGCCAGTTAGTGAATATAATTCTGTTACTCATAGGTGGCAATCTTTAATAAGACATATATACATTGTACAAGATGTAACTTTGTACAGATTTATGACTGAAAGATATCATTGATTCTTATCGTCAATAAATTGTGGCAAATTACATAATATATATTTTTATTTCATTTACATATTTATTTTCCTGTGCAGCACTTTTAATTTTATACAATAATATATAAGATACTTTATGAGTGTTTATAAATGAAATTTAATTACATTAATACTATGTATTTATACCTTTTCTTTGCGTAGAACGAGCTATGGCTGTGGCCCAGCATCACGATGCAGTCAGGTAATAATTTTGTCAAAACATTTAAGTATTGCATTAACAAGCCAATGGGCTAGGAAAAAGAAAAGCTTGACTTTTTTTGTGTGTTTTTTGGGGTAGAGGAAAATATAATTTATTTTTTACCATGACTTGCTACAAACTTGTAAGATGTTCTAAAAGATCACTTTTCAATCTCCAATTAATTGATTTCATATATTTGGTTACAATTTTACCAACTGAAATTAAAGCTTGGTTTCCATACAGTCGCTACACGCTATTGCCGACAGTTTTTGGTGATGCTGATTGGTCGGTCAAATCTGGGAGCCTTTCCAATTGTGTCGGGGACTGCTACGCAGTACGGCGATTGGACTGAAAACACCGCAGCGACGGTGTAGCGATTATAAGAAAAGCAGGCTGTAAAGGGTATGGGGTATTTGATCATTGGCAATGAACCCGTACATCGTTGCCATTATATTATTTTTGTGAGCTGAGCAGTTGGATAAGAGGTGTTGTTGCTGCTTCTTGTGCTGGGGACACCGGTGCAAATCAGGCCAGTGTCGGATTTTAATTAGCTTCTGATTGCACGACTTCTGTCTTGAGAGTCTAAGCAGACGAGGGGCTAAGAACTGTGTTTCAGTTACATGTTGTAGTTAAGTCAGATGGCCTGCACTGTACTGCGGCTTGGTGCAGGTCCCGAAAAGGCTCAGTCCAAGATCCAATTTCCAATTTGAATGAGGACAAATAAAGAATTATTATTATTATAATGATAATTAAGACTATGTCTATAGAAATTTAAATTAGTTTGCCAGCCGATCAACCCTGATTTAAAATTTTACTGTGTTTGGGCAACACAATAATTTTTTTTTTATCCCATGATTTAGTTTGTGCCTGCAGTTATATTCATTCATTGATTTTTTGGTAAACTTGTGTAAATTCCGTGGGACAAAAGAACATAAAAAATAAATTTATTTTAAACATAAATCTGCATGAAATAAAATATTAGCATAAATATAAAATGATAATCTAATCCAGTCCAATCCAATCTTTTTATATAAAGCGTCTTTGTATTGTGAAGCACTTGGAAGCCTTGTTTGCATGACGGAATATAATTATTATTATGTATTTTTTAAATGTCAAATCTTTTTCAGTGGCACTGAGAAGCAACATGTGGCTAATGATTATGCTAAACGCCTTGCTATTGGTCGAGCCAGTTGCCAGGTGAGGAGAGCAACAATCAAATGAGTTTATAAGACATACGTACCGTAAAACCTAAAAAAAAAACCAATTGCCCTCTAATAGAAGCTCTGGACCCTCGAAAAGAAGCCCTGGTCTTCTTTTTTTTTATTTGGTCAACCTTTGGATGGGCTTCTTTTCAAGAGTAATTTTGCAAAAAAATAAAGAGGATGCTTTTTTTTTTTAAATGAATGCTGTAAATATTTGTAATTGCTACTATAAAAATGGAATTTGAAATTCTGTTTAATTTTTATAACTCACAAATCAATTATATACATTCAGATTATGTTCAGCGAAGATGTTTTTAAATTGAGCATATTTCACCTCAAACTTTAAACTTTCATCTCGCATTTTTATACAAACCGTAGCATTTAATTGAACAATAATATCTTTGGTTTAATGACAGTTATAATGTTCTTCTTTCAGGAGTTAATTGGAACCACAATTACATCGGTGGTGACGGACAAAGCTACAGTAAACCAAGCACAATATTGCGAGTACATGAACATCAGTATCTGTGGCATTACAGAATCAGAAAAACAGGTAATCTATGACATGATATTGCTGATAGTAAGATTACAGAAAAAAAAGTATATAATTTCATAACTTAGTAAAATGTTTCAAAATTTTGTCTGTTAAGCCCTTTCCACACTATCAAATTTGACAAAATCATGTCACATACCTAAATATGACAGCACATCATGACTACCTAACAGATAGGCACATCACAACTATATATGGGCATACAACAATTTTTTGTCCAAAAAAGATTATAATCTGGACAGAGCTTTATGCTGAAAAATGTTTATTCAGATTTTGTCTCATCTCCTACAAACTTGGAAGGGTGTATGGTTTGTTTGATCAGATATCTCTAAAGCTTTATCCTCACCATCAAATTTTATGTAACAAATTTGTGCAATGTGCCCGTATATGGGCATGATGTGCCTGTATATGGGCATGATGTGCCCGTGTATGGGCATGATGTGCCCGTATATGGGCATGATGTGCCCGTATATGGGCATGATGTGCCCGTATATGGGCATGATGATTTTGTCACATAAAATTTAATAGTATGGACAGAGCAACAAGCAAACGCTATCACCTAAAGTTCTATAAAAACATTTTCTGTTGGAGATCCAGGATCCTAGAATTGTAAGGCATGCACCCTACTACCACAACTTACTTATATAGGTTATTTGAAGATATAATAGTATATAACTTTATGTGTTAATAAAGACATCATTTTTGAGTCAGATATTTCGGATGTGCCGGTGCCTTTTTTCTTAACTCAACATTTTAGGAATCTTGGCAATGGGTATAGGTTATAAAGTCAAAGTAAGCTGATACTTTTTTTGAAACCTTGTTTCGCAAACTTATTTTTTGAAAGATCATCAAAGAAGGAAAAAAGTACATAATTAACTTTCATTTTTTTCTGAAATTTCAATTTTTTTTTTGTAGTGGCAGGTGAGCTAATTGGCCAAAAATGAAATTTTTATTTTTATCATTATTGGCGGGTGGCAAGTTTGCTAAACAAATTATAAAAACAGTCGCCTTAATTGGAATATAGTGGTCATTAACTTCATTTGCTGTTCTTTCTGCTTATTAAGATGTTTATCAATAGAGATTGTGATATCTCTAATATGCAGCTTATGTTTTAAGCATATGATAAATTCATGTTAGTATTGTTTTCTTGCAGTTTATTGTAACAATTTACAATCCAATTGCACGTCCTGTCAACAGCTATGCCAGCATTGCAGTTGATGGTAGTGCCTATGCGGTAACAGACAATAATATGACCAGCATTAAAAGTCAGGTAAGATAATTGTGTATTTTTGACTTGAAGTTTAATCCAAATAAACAGCAGAATTATAATTTATTTATGCTGCAATGTAGCAGGAGACCCTTTAAACATTTTTTTATAGCCTGCATCTCGTGTAATATTTTGTCTTGTGTGAATCTGGGTTGGTACTCCTCAACGCCCCTAAAAGGAGCAAAGTGAAGAGGGCTGGTGGCGCTGTAGCTTCTGTAATATGCAGGGTTCCCAAGTCTCCCGGAACTCGCTGGAGTCTCCCGGAAATCGGAACAGCTTCCCGCACTTCCGCAAACGAGCAGGAATCTCCCGGAAATTAACCCATCTCTGGGAATTTTTACATGTTTTTACAATATTATTGATATTCTCAAGAAAGTCAGTGCCGATAGGTATCAGTTTGTGCAGCAAAATAAAATTAAATGTGTTAAGATGTTAAAAAAGCTCATTAACCAGGTCACTGGCAGATAGTTAAGATGTTAAGAAAGCTCATTAACCAGGTCACTGGCAGATAGTTAAGATGTTAAGAAAGCTCATTAACCAGGTCACTGGCAGATAGTTAAGATGTTAAAAAAGCTCATTAACCAGCTCTCTGGCAGATAGTTAAGATGTTAAGAAAGCTCATTAACCAGCTCACTGGCAGATAGTTAAGATGTTAAGAAAGCTCATTAACCAGATCAGTGGCAGATAGTTAAGATGTTAAGAAAGCTCATTAACCAGGTCAGTGGCAGATAAAGGGCGTGCGGAAAGCCGGCCCGTGCCGCTAAACATTTCAAAATTTTTAAATAGGGTAGAAAAGAAAGTTATATTCAAATTTAAGTCTGGCAGGGCCATTTCTGGCCATCTGGAGCAGGTGCCATAATTAAATTTTCCTGCCTCAGCACCAACCATGGTGGGGCTGAGGTGCTCTAGACACTGTCTCCCCCCCCCCCACCTTTCACCTTGTCGCTGCAGATCTCCCGAAAATGACTTCTTCCAACATTTCATTATGCAAAACTTTATGTTTGTTTTTTTATGTTATGTAATTCAGATGACCTGAATATGTTTCAAATACCAAACTATAATTTTATTCACAAAAATCGATCAGATAGAAGAGGGAGCACTATATATATCCTCAAATATTGCTTACCAAAACAGAGATGACCTATCATTGCTCTTGACAAATGCCGAATTCTTTCTTCTTTCTTTATCGATATTAGAACCTGAAAACAGTTAATTGTATCACTCACAATATATTACTAGATAAATTGCAGCCTTACAGCTGTTGTTCACACTGAATAAATTCAGTTCAATCTAAAAGTCATTGACTTGTAAAAAGTCATTTTTCTTTGAATATCTTAAATTTTCTCCTGCTGAAGGTCAATATTATGTTTCTCTTTCATGGGATCACACCAGTAATTATTTCAATTATTGCCTCCTGCCATGATGTAAATTATCAACTGAATTCAATTTGTTACACTTTGATGTTTCTTAATCCTTGCAGCTATTTGATGTGACGGCAGAGACTAAGCGAGTTCGTGGAAGCCGCAAGGGTTCTAGCAAAGTGCTTGTTTTCCCGTACACGGTGCCTGCGCTGGGATTGTCAACTTACCATGTGTCAGCTCAAAATCATTGTAAGATTGACCTTTGACCACCAGAAGAAAGTGTTATTTTTTAAAATTATCCATTATTCATATTTTAAAATATAAATATAATGATACAAGGATTAATATATTAAGAATAAACAAATAAAGCTCTAGGTTACAATTTAAAAGACATTAAATTATACAAGAGGAAGAAGCAAAGATTAAATAGATAGGAAAAAGCAATCAAAACTGAACAAGCACTCGTAAAAAACAATTAGACAATTTTGCTCTGTTATATGTTGGAAATTATTATTATTAGGATTACTGTGAAACTAACGTTGATTGAAATTTCTAGTTCATTGTATATCAGCTTCTTTCATTGACTCTGTAAACCTACTTAATATCAACTCTGTTTTAAAGTTGTATCCATTATTTATCCTCTTTAAGGGCGGGTAAATGTAATTTTTAGAATGATTTGCATGTTCTTGAATCATTTTACTATTTGTACTACAGTGACAGCAATGCAAACTAAAGGTGTTAGCAAGTACACGATGGCCCAGATGCCCAACAGTGGTGATATAATCATTAGCAACAAGGTAACACTAACAGTTCAACATACACTTTGACACTCAATTCATATGTACAACAACCTGTAAGATTTCATAACAGTGATCGCTCTGTGTGAAAGCATTTTCATGTAGTGAATAGCTTGGTGGTTAAGATGCTTGCCTTCTAATCCCAGGGTCCTGGGTTCAAGTCCTGTGACAGCAGATTTTTTCCCACTACTAAAACAACTCCATTCCCTAAGCCTCATTATTATTTTTAGTTACAGTATTATGGTATAATTGGCCCAAACAGCAATATCAACAATGGTAATATCATATGATGATGATAATACTACTTTTTTTTCCTAATAATTTCTGTTTTAAAAATTGTCACAGATTTTGAGTGTAACATTTGACGGTGTTAGTGGCATTTTGAAGTCCATGGCAAATGTAGCGCAGAACATGTCATTAAAAGTAAATCAGTCGTTCTACTGGTATAACGCAAGCACCGGGAATGACGTCAGCGGCCAGGTATCGGGGGCCTACATTTTCCGTCCAAATAAGACAACACCCATCCCACTTTTCAATGGAAAATCTGTGTCCTTGACTGTCATAAAGGTGAAGTTTGCTCTTTTTTTATTATAATGAAAATGATATGAATGACATAAAGTATATTATAAGTCAATCGTGACGTCATCACTGTAACTCCCAATGTTATTTGCCTATTCCCCAGTGTCCACTAATTTTTCTATTAGTGGACGCTTGGCTTGATTTTTTTTAGGTTCGTGTGCAAAAAAAAAATTCGTTTTTTCGTCACCGCGAATACATCGCGCAGCGCGATCAAAATTGAATATTACTTTCGTAAAACAAGCTTAATTAGAACCCGAAGAAAGTTACTTCAAATTCAATATTAAGTATGAACAATTAAGGAATTCATTGAATCAATGGACCCTCATAAACACAACAAACTGAACGTTTAATAGGAATATTCTAGACCTATTTTAAAGACCCAGGGATCAAATTTAGACGTAGGCCTACGGCCAGGCAGCAGGCCGCCCTAATACTACTAGGCCGTAGCCTAGCCTAGTTATGAAATCATCGCACAATTTTACCTGTCTGCCTGCACCGACCTAAAAGGACGTCAGTGACTGTATTCTCCCTCGAATGCTGTTGTTCAAATGTTTATTTCTTATATAGACGAAAATCTATCAAAATAGCATTACAAACAACTTCTTTCTTACACAACACAAATTACAATAGTTATTCATCGTATCCGTGTACTGCTGATGTGCAGTTAATTAAACACGTACTGCAGGAGCAAAAATCAGTATACGCACAGATAAATATAAATATGCACACGTATACTGATCATATCACCATAGCAACTGATGACTGCTACAGCAGTTGGTTATAAAAAACTAAAATTAAAAGACGGCGATTGACTTATAAAGCAATTAGTAGAGCATGCATCATACGCTAAATGGAAAATTATTATACTTAGGTTAGATTTAATGCATTCAAAAATTTCCTTTGGGCTATGCAGGCCCTTAGGAAATTTTTTCAAGCATTAAATCTAACCTAAGTATCATAATTTTCCTATAGTGTACTATGCGGAGCTCTACTAATTGCTTATTGAGATTAGTTTAATGTGCTGTATTAATAAATCCTTTGGTAGAAATATACAAGTAAAGCATATATAAACACAGTAGTATAAAATATATAATAATATATTATTGTTGAATCAATAGAGCTTGCACATTCATTATTATAATAGTAGAAGTATGCACGCCGGTAAGTAAAGTATAACTAATGTTCAATTAAAATATAGTAATGTATGGTATATTAATGTATGAATTGAAAATGTTGCACTGTGTACTAGGTCTACTGATAGCTTAAAAAGTGATCTATAAGTAATATTTAGTTTATATAATTGAATTTTAAATTGTTGAAAAGATAAGCCAAACCAATCATGCATCGCTAAAACTGATTTTTAATTATTAACACAGGGTTATAGGTGTAACAGGGTTATAGGTGGAAAAAATTACACCTATACATGTTTCTCCTGACGCAAATCCAGTTATTGTCTATTATTCCATCACGACAATAACAATTATTATTAACACAGGGTTAAATATTAAAATCAGAGATATAAAATGGTAAAAGAGTCATTTAAATTCGACAATTCGTTATGATTTTGCAGGAATTTAAACATACAGCGTTTTTAAGAACAATATTTGAGAAATCAGACTTTAAAGTTTATGATTTTGGGGATTTCTCAGACAGAAACCATCACCAAATCATTAAAAATTGTTGTTTTAACATTGAAAATTGGGGAAATAACAGCATAGTATAATATATAGATGTATAAATGTGAATTTACTGCAATAAAATAGATTTTAAAAATGTTGACATTCTAGAATGTTTTGGCCATTATCTCTGAAATAGGATTTGCAAAGATTGACTGGTTTGGCTTGTCTTTGCCTGGACAATTAGGGAATGTTGTACTCTCTATTTGATCCATAGATTGCTCTAGAAGTACAGGTAAATTACCTAGTCACAGGAAATTAATTTTTGTATTTATATGGAAAACAATAAGAGATGCATATCAATTAAGAAACAATGCCAGCAGTCTTGTTGATTTTGAAGATTAATTTAGTTTTAGTTATGTCTAATGAATGTTGATTGCAACTACTATTTATAATAAGTCAGTTGTGACGTCATCACTGTCAACTAATTTATTGATCACTGAGCACCTAGTCACCGCAATTACAGATGTAGGTTGATTATAAACTGAAATTGATAAAAAGGAGTGCATTTGTAATTAAAATTTGAATACAGGCCATATAAACTTCTTTTAACGAAGCTATACCGACCAACAACTGTAACCAGAGAGCAGCTTAGCTCAGTTGGCTAATCTGGTGGTAGCCACTGTGCGTGTACTGAACCATGGAGATTTTTAGGTCCCCTGTTCAATTCCCATCGCTGCCTCTCCTTGTATTTCAGCTGGAGGGCTGAAATACATGTTATAATAGCGCACCATCTTTGAGAGGAGACGTTTAAGCCGTTGGTAACGTGTGCATTGATGGCCCTTGTGCATGTTCGGAAAAGAGTAGGGGATTGTCTCCCGGCGTACTGCCCAATCACCACCAGAAGGACCCCACTGGAAATAAGTCTTCTTTCAGACTTACAGGGAGATTACCTAGTCACAGGCAATTAATTTGTGTATTTATACAAAAAACAATAAGAGATTCATATCAAAGAAATAAATATCCTTGCTAATTGTGATGGATTGATTTAGTTTAATTGTTTCTAATGAATGTGGATTACAACCACTATTCGTGGATCAACAATTTATGTCTTGTTAATTTTGTACAGGGTGAAATTGTTCAAGAGGTTCACCAGCAGTTCCAACCATGGCTAAGTCAAGTGGTCAGGCTTCGGGAAGGCCAGGATTACGCCGAGTTTGAGTGGACTGTGGGACCAATCCCGATCAAGTAAGGCTCCCGATCAAGTAATTCATCAAAACTTGTATTTTTCATTTCCCCAGGCTAATTATTCGGTCTAATTACAGTATAAAACCTCAAATAATTCCAAAGGTTACACTCAATAAGTTTTACAGATGTTTCTAATCAAGTATTTCTAAAATTAGATGCTCAAGGAAATTTATTATTCAGTAAACTTATTATCATAGGCACAGATTCAAAGTAATTTAGTTTATTCCTTTTTTTTCAATTCATTTTCATTTATTGGTATAAAAAACACACAAAAGGCAACATAGAAATGTTTGAATTTAGAATATAAATGGAAGAAAAATTCAAGACATCAAATGAAATAAATGTATAAACTAAAACATCAACATTTAAAAAAGGATCATGAATATGACTTACATTAAAAATACAAGAATTATAACATAAAATGCATTACAGGCAAGTAATTCAATCTATGTACAATTGTCATTAAAATTTAAAAGTATTACTTACTGTATATCTAATTGCTCAAAAATATACATTATTCTAAAAATATACTCATCTATCAAAATACAATTTATTGCAACAAACGTATGTACAATCAAATTTAGAATTTAGAATTATTGCTACGTCTAATTGCTATAAAAAAATATATTTTTGAACCAAAATAAAGTGAAATAATACATTTTTATAGCATGTATACAATAAAATAATGACAGCTTCCTTTACAGTAATTCATTAAATTGTGTCGCCATTGTGTGCTACACAAGTTAATTAATGGTATAAAATTGTACTTTAATAGACTTTTCTTTTCCACTCATTTTGAATAATATATTTTTGCAGTGATGGCTTTGGTAAGGAAATTATAAGTCGTTTTGATTCTGAAATAGAATCTTCCAATGTCTTCTACACAGATGCCAATGGACGACAAATGATCAAAAGAAAGTAAGATAACGATATAACATAAATAAGTTAATAAAATTAATCAATATTACCAATGTAATATGTATATTTTATAACTAGGGATTTTTTACAAGAAAATGGATCTGTAATTAGTTAAGCGTAAGCCTAGGTCTTGTAATCATTCTCCATTGCTGCAGGATTGGTTTTTTTCCCTGCCTGTTCACACAGGGTGGTTTGACCACCTTCTTAGTAGCATTGTAGCCTGTTTCTCACGAGAGACCTAGTATCCGAATCGGGAGCTAACCGTTAGCGCTAACCATTAGCACCTGCGTGAGAATGCCCGATCGGTTAGCGCTAACCGTTAGTGGTATCCGGAATCAGCTAATGGTTAGCAAGCGCTATCGGTTAGCAAGTGAGCATGTTTCTATCATCAACCAATCACACGTACGCGTTTACAATTTCCAGTTTCTTATTGGCCAGTAATTCAATCATCATATTCTTGGTATCCGGATCGGGATTTTCTCATATGGATGCACGGCAGCTGTTAGCTGCCGTGTGAGAACATAGCCTTAGTTTGTTATGCTAATGAGTTCAAGCATTGTCAATTTTCTTATATTTCTCATTCGTTATACAATGAATCCGGCGTGGAGACTCTCATATCAAAAAGAGAACCAACCACACACTTGTAAACTGCCTTTCTGATCATGTAAATAAGAATATAGATTGATAAAACTAAATTACTAGCAAGCACAAATATTTTAAAATGAAAAAAAAAAACAAAAAAAAAATGTTGATATTAAAAACAAGTCTTGAAAGTCTTAAGTCTTAAAAAGCAATTTCAACGTTTACATACAGTAATTAGCAAAAGATTGTATCTGTTGTCTGCTGCTGCTATAGCAAATGTCTAGCGGCACTATCCGCTGCGTGGTGCTCTATTTGTAACTAGCCACTGCTCAGATTAGACCGTTTGATGTTCCTCAGTAAAAAGTTGCGAGAGGTTGGTGGAGCTGTTTCAAAATACACCTGATAAAATGGTGTATAGGTATAATTATAAAACTTGACATTGGCCATATGCGACCATGCCTATCTGCACAGTGGTAAAATCCTACTTAACGAAAATAACCAGACGAATAGAAAACTGGTAAATACTTGACAAAAAAAAATGGCTGTGTAGTTACCCCGATTTTTATTTATGCATTGCTTTATTAGATTTAAGGGGGCAGGGTTTTTATAGATCGGGGTCCCTGAAAGTCGGGGGCCCAGGTTCAACGGACCTGCTGAGCCTGCGATAATAACGCCACTGGTTCTACACCTGTTTTCTTTAAACTCTATCAGTGCCTAGTCCTCCCTCATCTTCAGAACTGTTGTGAGGTATCCCTATCGAAAATCTCAGACCCAAATGATTGAGCAAATTCAGGTAGGGTTTTCCCAGTTGATTTTACATCAACGTATCCTTGAACAGTTGTATGATCGAAGACCAGGCACTCTTGTTATTATGACCACTGTGTCGTTAACTGAATCAAGTATACAAAATACTAAATGCACCATCTGCGCTGCATAGTAATGTTGAAAGGTCAAACACAGTTCAGGCAGTGTGTATGCTTGTAATAAGTGTAATCAGAATAATCACGCATAGAAGTAAGTAACTAATGTAATCAAGAATATTCACCTATATAGTATTGCACATGTATATTTAATGACTTGTGATTCACATGATGAGCGGGATTGTGCTTTAGAAGAATTTAGGCTGATTAAAAGCTTTTGAGTAGGCCTAGACCTAATGATAACCCACAGTTGTCGTACCGTGAACTACTTGATTGTGATCACTGATGATGTTTTTTAGAATAATTTCGTTGTTCATTTCAATTGATTTATATATAATTTAACAGTGTTAACAGCTATCTTATTAAACTTCCCAATAATTGAATGTGAAAAAAAAAATACAATAAGAATTATATTTGGTTTTATAATAGTTCAAACAATTGTGAAATAGAACATGAATCCAGAAATATAATAATATAAAAGTTTAAATAAAATTTAAAAAATATGAACACATTAAATATATCTGACGCATGATAGCATAATGTCTGCTGATATAATATACGCCCAAAAATAACCTCTGAGGCGTTTTGGGTGATCAATTTTTTCTTTTTCTTTCTTTTTTTTTTTTTCCTTTTTCTTTCCAAAAGGGGGCCGCCCCCCCCCCCAAATCTGCCCTAATAACCCTTCAAAATTGAATTACCTCGAGATCTTTGGTCATGAATCATTATGACTAAGTTTGAGAAGTTTCTGATGAAGACTGTAGCCTGTAGGCTGTTCACAGACAAACACACAAACAAACAAATAAGTAAACAGGGGCGAAAACATAACCTCCTTGGCGGAGGTAATTAATGTCTAGATCTTGTTTTCTGAAAGGTTAAACCATCGAGACACATGGACATACAACAATACGGAACCTGTGGCCGGAAATTACTATCCAGTTAATAGCAGGATATATATCAAGGTACTTACCTGTTTGAAAATATAGTTTTCATTCAAATAGTTATCTATACAGAGCTGCTTTAATTACTACACTGAAGGTAATTATCATTTATCAAAGTGGTTACAGGTATTATATGCTAGTTACCTGTTCAGGTACATATGCACAGTGGCGTATATAGGAGGTGCACGCCTCCCCCTCCCCACCCCCAAAAAAAATTACTCGTGCCTCCCAACATGAGTTATTACTCCCCTCCCCAGAAATCACATTCAAGTAGTTAAAAATCACCCGCCACTGCATATGCATCAATAATGGCAAATTTATCACTCTGGTACAATGCAAATTAAATATATAATATGTTGTTTACCTGCAGGATACCAGGTCACAACTTACGGTGCTAACTGATCGAAGCCAAGGGGGTAGTTCTCTGACGAATGGATCTTTGGAACTCATGGTACGATATGGCATGTTTAACAAATGGGAAAAAATTTCAATTGGTGTAAAACCAGTGAAGCAAGCTAAAAGTTCTTCCTTGAAATGTTCATTGGTGGTAGTGGATGTTCAGCACTCATCATTGAAAATAAATTTAATTGAAAAACATATTTTTAAAAACATATGGCCTTATCAACCACATTGCCTTGAAGAAATTAGACTAATTAATTATAAATTCAAATATATACTGTTATTTATTTAATTGATAATTTGTATAATTGATAAATATGTTTAAATTATTATTATCATCATCTAACTGTTTTAGGTCCATCGAAGGTTACTGTATGATGACTATCGAGGGGTCGGTGAACCTCTAAATGAAACTGGACAATTCGGTGATGGTTTGATGGTGCGCGGTAAGCATTGCGTACAGCTTTCTAAGCCTTCTGTGGCAGGGAAAATGCACAGAAGCCTTGGGGAAAGACTCTACATGGCTCCTATAGTGATGTTCATACCTGCTGGAGCTGATGGGCTTAAAGAACCAAGGTTAAAAGTGAGTTGTGATCCTGTTTTTTGTAATATTTTCTGCAAGAAACTAAGAAAAATGATATCTGATTCTGTTTGCAAACACAACCTAAACAATGTATTAATATGATAGAGAACAAGACATAATATTTAAACCATAGTACCATAGAGAAAATAGAACTATATGTTTAAACATAGACAATTACAATAAAGCACTTCACAAATGGAAAAAAAAAAGATTGGTATGACGTTCCTTCAAAATTGTTTTTTATTATCAAGAAAATATAGTACACTTAATCGCTTTGGTTTGAGCAGTAGAACCCGTTGTTAGGGCTGTACTGATCTTGTCACTTTGACAGGAGACAAGTGCCTTGCAGCACAGTTGTTAATAATCAGTTTGTGGAATATGTTTTCTGGTTTGAATAATATGTCAAGGCGTATCTTTGCTTGTGCCTTAAGAGACATCACTCTATTATTACCAACACTTTAATTAGTAGAGGACGGGTTTGGAGCAATGAATGCAACTCTGCTTCTCAACCTTGAGGTCGGAGCTTTAATCCCTTGCTGTACATTTTGTTTGTGACCTTGGGCAAAGCATTTTACCGAACGGTTGTCTCTCTCCACCCAGGAGTACAAGTGGGTACCTGGTAGGTTCAAACACAACATGCACTGATTACAGCTTCAACATGAGTATGTGTTCCATATGTGCTTGGTCCAATGGCCGGGGTAATAATGTTAAGCGTATAGAAATCTCTACAATATGTGCTCTATAAATCGACCATCATTATTATTATTATTATTATTATTATTATTATTATTATTATTATTATTATTATTATTATTATTATTATTATTATTATCTTGTTTTTTAAGCCATTGGTTTGGAATACATATTGACCTTAAAATTGCAAAAAAGGCAATTATTTGCATAGGGATCCACTACATGAACTAACGTGAAGCGAACATAGTTACCTATCATCATAATGTAAGAAATTACCTATCATCACAAAAGAAAACACAGCCCAAGTTCACAAATTGAGGATGAAAACAAAACTAAAAAAATATAAGAAATCTAGCTCAGAATTAAAATAAAGAGAAAAGATGGGATTTGAGCCGAGACTTAAAGACAGTCTTAGGGTAGTTAGTTCCAAAGCTTCGGTGCAGCAACAATGAAGGAATGATCACCACAAGTTTTATGTGATCAATAGGACAGTTATATAATGGTAGATTAAGATGAGTTAGACCTATAAGTGTGTGAGTGCAAACAGTGCAATTAGATTGGAGATGTAGTTGGGGATGAATTATGGAGTGACTTGTAATTGTATACAAATAACAAGATCTTAAAGTCAAGATGTTATGAAACACATTGGTACAAATACTGTTATCAATTTGTATTTTTTTTGCAGGATTCAATGTTAGAGCACCCTCTCCCAGAAAATGTTCATTTACTTACCTTGGAGAAATGGAGTGATGACACGGTGCTGCTGCGATTAGAACATCAATACGAGAAAACAGATGATGCAGATTTATCAAAGAATGTTACTGTTTCACTAAAGGTGGTTATTGCTTCAATTAATAGGTCTTAAAGCCAACTCAACCAGGGTTATATGACGCAACTCAACAATACAAAGTTATTTTTGTCTGTATGAAAGCAGACACAAAGGTCTGTGGTGGTGACAGTCACATCACTTGTTTGATGTTCAAAGACTGTTCTTGATGATAAATTGTGTTAGGCTGTGATGCTGCCCGAGTTTCCCTTTACTGTTGAAATAGTTGTCTAATGCTTTTTAATTTCATACATTTACAATGATTGTATATGTTTACTGTAGGGTTTGTTTGTGACATTCGACATTCAAAGTGTACAGGAGGTGACTTTAAGTGCTAACCAGGTATTATCGGAGGCTAAGAGATTGCAGTGGAATACAGCCAACGGATTTGTGCCAACAGGTAAATTAAACTGTCTTGTCTTGCCATATTCTTTCCTTTTGTTGAGAATTGGAGATATGAAACTCAACTCAACAACAGTCCATCATGGACATATCTATTTACCTTTATGGTTGATCCAAGTTGTAATGTTATATTCCATGATCTTCTCTGCTTTGTCTGCAAGTCTTATGTTCTATAAGAGATCTCTGTAATCTCTCTTTTGAAATGTCCAAAATATTTAACCACAAACTTTAATGAGGTGAATGATTTGCTGTGTATTGTGATATTAATGCAATTTCTTTGTTTCTTCAAAATCTACAGATTCTAAACCCCCACCAGTTTCACCGGTTACATTAGATGTCACATTGACCCCTATGCAAATTCGGACATTCCTGGCCAAGGTCAAAATGCATTGACGTGTGTATACCTGAGTAAAAACTAACTATTAAATGCGTTCCTAAAGTTTGATGAACGATTTTTTCAAGTAGATAAACTCTTAATTTCAACGCTTAAGTTTGTCAGTCAAATATTTTTATATAAATATATAAATAAATAATATAAACATTTATGTAGCTCTCAATCATTAAGGTGCATTAAAATGTTGTATTGTGTTGAGATCAAGAGTTTATTACTTGTAGTCATTACATTATCAATACAAATTTTTGTTGTTGTTGAATACCAATTTTTTAAAAGTAAAACTAGTACTTTCTTTGTTAAATGATGAACCTCAATTTTCATGAGAAAATATTTTGCCAAAATTTATATTAAACTTCTAAAGCAGGCTATGAAATAGCTTTGAAGTGCAGCCTCCCATTTGAGACCCTTCTAATTTTAAGACCCCTCTAGTTCAAGACCACTTTTTGAGAGAACCAAATAACAGTATTTAAGGTAGAGGTAGGAAATAACCCGTGACTTGCAGTCTTAACTTTCTTCTCCCCAAGGGGACACATCATGTCCAATCAGCTGCCAAGTGGCGCACTTTGGTCTGTCCACGACGGGCTGAATGAACCAGTGCACCGTGGTAACCCTCAACTCTTCTCGAAGGATGTACAGGGTTCTTTAAAGTGCACACAAGCCAATTGCGTACACTGGGCCTACGGTTTAGAGTCCTTATCCAAGTAGACTTCTTCTGCCACCAAAATCATAGGCAAGTGTGCCGTTCAAACCAGCGTCAATATTATGGCTACAGGTTGCAGCGGTAATTCGTCTCAATCTATTAACATTAAGCAAACCCTCTATGAAGAGACAGCACCCTAATACCACGCAAAACTTTTAGGTCCCAAATGTGATCTTGAATTGAAGGTTGAATTGCATATATACTATGAACTCTGAATGGGCTTTCATTTGTATTGTAGAAGCTGTTTTTTAGGTAAACTTATTTAAAAAATCACTGGTAGAACTGTAATGAAATAAATTTAATAAGTCAGTCATTAGAGAGCTATGGTTTATTTTATTTTAGTGAAGAAATTATTGACTTTTCAAAATTCAATTTATTCAACAAAAATAAACATAGATTTTTAAGTATGTTTTGTGGTGAATACAAACAAATTGATAAGAAAAATTTGAACAATAAAGGAAGTTGGTTTAATCTGATGGCCAACATGAATTTTACAAAATCCAAAATTCCATAACAAGCTAAATAAATTGAAATGGAAAAATATTTCAATGCATTAAAGTGTTTTTCTATTTCATGTAACATGACTACGTATATTAATCACTTAAAATATCAAAGATAACACTCATTCATCATGTTGCACATAGACACAAGCAATAAGATGTAAACTGTGCATAGTTGTACCATCATTACGTGGCTTCAAAATTTGCCAACAGGGGTCAGAGTCATAAGGGGCTGCTTAGGACTTCCAGACAGGGCTCCAGATTAAAACACTTGATTGGGTTACACGTTGACTGCCAATCATTTTTTCCGAGTTCCGTCTCTTATGCCTTAACCTATTTAGACCAGTGTATGTGTCCCATGATAAGATACATTCTGATGACAAATTTTCTACTGGGCATAAACAAAAATGATTATGATGTAATAATGTGGTTGAAAAATTAATTATTATCCTTCTCAGTCATTTATAACACTGAAAAAATATTGCATTGATGAAAGTGAAAAAGTTACTGTAGACCTATTGTGAATTAAACATTAAACTACTGTGCATGGAAAAAACATGTATAATTGTATTATTGTCCATTTTGGGGATACTGTATATTTATGTGTTTTCAGTAGAACACTATTAAGGGGACACCTTCAGGATTTAAAAAAATTGTCCCCTTATGGTGTTCCCTGAATAGGGGTTGGCCGTAGTGTTAATAGATACACTTCCTCTCATTTACTGCCCAAAAATGTGTCCTCTTGATAGGGTTATCAACTTAATATGGTTTTGTCAAAGAAGGGGTTCTACTGTATTTTTATTCTCTTTCAGTATGGTAGCCCTCTCAGTGATAAACATCGTTCTTCCGAAGGCCCCAACAACATGTTAAATTGATTTGTACTTTTTTACCATTTCATTTGTACTCATTCTTGAACCCACTTGACAAATTGCAAGATTTTGAACCTCTGTAACGCAGCTTCTTTATATATATTTATGTGTACGAAATTCTAGAGATTGAAATATTTTGGACTTAATCTAAAATCAGTGTCAAAAGTAATGCTTTGGAATTGCCTTTTTTGAATTCAACAATCACTGATGATTGATTGATTGATTAATTTATTGGTTACTTGATTAGTTGGTGTATTGATTGATAGGTATAAGTACTTGATTGATTTTTTGATAAGTTTAAATGGATGGATGCTTCATTAAACCAAATTTACCAACAAAAGTTTTCGAAACACTGAAACGCAGCTGCTTAGTGTATTTATATGTACGAATTTTAGAGAATAAAATATTTCGGATTCAATCTAAAATCAGTGCCATGTGTAATGATTTAGAATGCCATTTTTAATTCAACAATCGATTTAATGATTGATTGATTGATTAATTTATTGGTTAATTAATTAGTTGGTGTATTGATTGATGGGTGTAAGTACTTGATTAATTCATCGATCAGTTTTAGTGGATGGTTGACTAATTGTTTGATTGATTGATTGATTGATTAGGTGATTGATTGATCAGGTGATTGATTGATTGATTGAATTATTGACAGATTGTGGTAGACTGACTGACTGAATAATGTAATTGAATGATAGATTGAGTTGTTGATTGATTGATTCAGTTTGCCTGATTGATTATTGCTTATTGAATAATTCACTGATTGGTTGGTTGACTGAAAGTTTGTTAATTTATTGAATAAGTTATTGATTGATTACTTGATTGATTGATTAATTTGTTGATTGATTGACAAGGGATCGGTTGGTTGAATTAATTAAACAATTGCTTGAATGAATAAATGGCTGATTGCTTGGTTGAATAAATCAATGAAAGCTGATTGATTGATTGATCGATTGTTTGATGGATGGATGTATTGGTAGACTAACTTGGTGATTGATAGATTAACTGGTTAACTGGCTGACTAATTGATTGATTGATTGATTGATTGATTGATTGATCAACTGAACGGTAATATTTTTGGTTTAAATGAGGAATGAGTAGTTTTGTGCTTTTAATGATAGTATTGATAGTAGAAAGTATTGTGATGTTCCCGGTATTTTTTTTTTATTTGCTGTGAAATGTGAGGTTATTTGTAAAAAGCACCATATAAATGAAACAAGAAAAATCCTGGGCTAGAAAAATATCAATAAACCAATTTTGCTCGCTCTTTCTTGGAGTACGAAATGCCATTAAAACCTGATTCCCTCAAGTACATCAAGTAACTGATACCCGGATCCAGACATTTTTGAAATGGAATAATAGTGGATCTCCCTCCGAAGAGATATTTTCAATCTGTTGTAAATAATTTAGTGATAACGCTTAGTGTAATGGTAAAATTGAGTAAGAAATCCAACTAAATGCTTCGATAGGCAGACATTCTCTTTGTTCAATGTTGACGAGTCCCGGATGGACTGACTTTGGAAGACCGTGTTCCATCTGAGAAGAAAATATTATAGGCCTAATAGAAGCTATTTTACAATAATTCCAATCTTTTCATCAGTAAAGCTGTATTTTACTAAAAACGTTCATTTATTTTAAATGTTGGGTAAGAAAGAGGCAGCACTCTGAGACTGGCATCATTGCTATATTGTACAACTTACGATTTCATCGTCGTTCTTCGAGAGTATACCCACTTATCACTGGGTGTTTACACATTCATTGATTTAAGGACCTATTTTGGTATCTGCCTCCCACATACACACATGGAAATTGATGCTAGTGAATAAAGGATTTTATCCGAAAATTTGTAAAACAATGTATTATAATCTGCATTCGCTTCCCGGTATTTTACGACTTTTGGTCGTCCATAATGAGACAGTGAACATTATAATTTTATTTAGCGTCATTATAAAACTGTTTTTATAGGCCTAATCTGTTTTTTCCTACACCGTATTTTTCTCTTATTTGTTACTATTATGTGTGATTGTAAAGTTGTTCACTGCTTCCTCGCTTGGAAGTTTGGTTTTTTGTCGGAATGATTTTCTGTGAATCCTTGGAATTTACGTAAAATTGAGGTGTTAGTGCTTTGTAGGCCTATATAATGGAGTGAGGGGGAAATATGATAACAAAATTTAAAAAAAATTGTTATAATTCGTATTAAATCATGCACCTGTTGGAAGTGGGTTAAATCGACTTCTTAAAACTCCAAAACCGACCTGGAGACGTAGTCCAATAAGGAGGCCGGGGTATTAAGATAGACTTTTATTTAGTAAAAATCGTTTTTGATTTCTAATTAAAATAAAAAGACCCAACAGGGCTGTTGATACAAAATCTTTTCATTTGCCTAAGATTTATTGAAATTATTTTGATAAGAAATATAAATAATAAAGCAATTAAAAAAAAATATATATATATATATATATATATATGTCGGCTTTAAAATTTCTAGGCAAAATATAATGTGCGTATTTTTTTTATTCTCACTATGCCGCCACTAACTTAACTTCATCACTCGGCTACTCGGCTACTCTCGATTCATCCATTCGGTATATGGTGGATTTCGTCATAACGTTGTTGGCGTGTGCTAGATGTCAGTGCAGCAAACACCATTGTCGCCTCGCGCCATGTGTTGATATTACCATAAAACCAAAACATTGTATTTGTAGAATGCGTGCTGAAGGAAGTTACGTTCAGGTAAATAGGTTGAATGTAAGAAACTGATAATATCCTAAATATGGTAATTAATACTTGGTTTGTCTATGCTACAACCAACACTGTATTAGTGGTAGAGGTAGTGGTAGTGGTAAACTACTGCAACAGATTTGGCCTAGGCCTCTACCTAGGCGGCTAGCCTAGCTAGGCTGCCGGACCTGGCTGGCTGAATGAGTAGACTAATAAAAGGTATAGGGCCTGGGGCTAGGCCTAATTGAGGAGCCCCAAGGGCCGGCAGTAGGTCTAGCCTAGTTTACAAGGGACTAGAGTGAATGAATGATGTTTCTAAATATTATGATTATTTAACAATTTATTTAGTTAAAAAAAAAATTAAATTCATGAACAGAATACTTCTGTAATAATATGTACAAGGCCAAGGGACCATAAATTAATACTGATACTTCATAAAAAAAATTACAAAAAGGTGATGTAATGTAGCCTAGGCTAGGCCCCCATCCCTCTTTAGAGGCCTACTGTAAATTACAAATATCATTATCAGTCTTCATAAATGGTATTGAAAAAAACGTGGTATACTATATAAATTAAAGGATACAATATCAAAAATTAAAAATGAAAAAAAAAATAAAAAAATACATGATATTTAAAATAATTGATACTAATTATGGGTGATATCAAATATTTAACATGAAAGTTGACTCATCAATATCATTTTCATCCATGATATGATTATTAATTCGTTGCTGCACGAACAATGATTTTCTTCGTTGAAGTAAATGAAATACTGCACCTTTTCATATAAAGTTAATCTGAATGCCATTTCTTCTTAAGCACTGAATTTTGATCCTGGCCGTCACCGTTATTTGGGATGAAGTATGCTCGCCACCAGCGACAGATCCACCAGTTTTGTTGCCTTGGTGGTGTAAGTGGCAATTAAGGGCCTGCTATAGTCCGAAGTTGGGGTGGAATATATATATGGTCAAGAGAGAGAAATTTGGGGGTGTTTCCTTACATATCTATTGTGGTCTAGGGCTCTGTCAAGGAAGCCTTACCACCTTTCCTAATCACCAAGGCCCCACTTTGTGCCACTCTGTCAGCCCCATCTCAAAATATTCCTAGATACGCCACAGCACTTATGCGGCTGATACTATCTCATTCAAATTGCACTTTTCCTTGACATTCGTTTGTGTGAACTTATGATATGCTATTATTAAAAGGTTGATTAGACCCACAAGCAAAAAGGCTATTGCTCTAGAAGACTAATTTACTTGCACTGTAGAACTTCTTGGGAGAGATATTTAGACTAATAAATTATATCACTAAGATATTTTCAATTTTAAAAATAGTATCTTTCGTTTGGCTTGTAAACATGCTTACTAACCATTATTCAGCAGTGACCTTATAGTAGAAACAATAGTCTGATTGATTCACATCGGAATTAACCCAGCTAGCAACATCTTTAAATATACGATAATCCCCTTTTTGTGTTCGATGTCGAGGATGGAGCCAGATGAAGCAGCAGCCAGCTATCGGCGTCACTAAATAGGAAGTTTTTAGGGAGTTTTGGTAAACCAGACTGAAAAATCCGCTCAGTGGAACGGCTTGTTTAAGATGTCCATTTTACATATCTTTTGATATGAAGGAGTATTCATAAACTGAAAAATTTGTAAACCAAATCATGTCAATTTCCACCATCTGTATATTTTATGAACCTTTCTATTGTGTTCTTTCTAGTGTTTAGATCGCTGAATTGTGTTGTTTACATGCGTTTCGCAACAAACTAGCTTTGTGGTGTCAGTAAGTGGTCCCCAAGAGACACATTTGCGCTCATTTCAATGACTGGCCTTGGTGGTAGTTTGTTGACACTGAATTTATGCTAATATAGCGATTATTATAACAGAAATGGAAAAAAATAAATTAGATGACCTAATGGGGTCACCTCTGTCAGTGCCAGGCTGAAATTGAAATAGTATGGTAAGAGAAACCTATGGACCAAATTTAGTGCCATTGCAAAAACCAAAACCTACAGTAACAATTCTATTTTAACCATATTTTCGTTATACTGTACTATTGTAGCATGTTTTATACAGTGATATACAGTAAAACATTCCTATCTGAACCTTTAACTATAAAACATATTAAAAACGATACATTTTATGCTGTATGTTTATTGCAGAACTGTATATAGCTTTAGAAGAGCTTTCCAACAATACCTAACATGATAGTATTAAAGATTGTCTATTTTGACCTATGACCTCATTTGGTCATGTGAAATTTTTTAACTCCATAACTATGAATTTTTAGGTATACAGTAGGTGTAATAGCTCCTAGAGTACAGTATTCCTGGTGCATGTCTAGACTAAGTGGATCTATTAACCCTTTGAGGTTGTGGTCCGTATCCCATACGGAGTAATTTACTGTCTCTGGATGCGCGGTCCTGTTTCTAGTGACGTTAAGGAAATCCCCTAAAAGATTCAGCAACAGAGGGCAGCATTATTAAAACAATAGGAGACAAGGCTTAGCGATTGTAGAGCAAAAAAAAAAAAAAAATTTCTGTCAGTGACTGATGTACTTGGAACGAGGATAGCGGGATTGTTTATATAATAAATAATTTAATTAATTAATTAATTAATAATATAAATAATATGAATCTGAGGAAAGATTTTAACTAGAAACTTTAGCAGCGCAACCAGTAATGCTAGGTCTGCAAATGTTCATTTTGGGTTTGGTCATGTACATGAACCCCCTCTCATATTTCAATAGTCCCATACCCCCATCTTCTCTATTATTATTATATTATTATTTCATGAAGTGTACTAGTTTTAGTGAAATATATCCTACTAGGTCCAGTAGTCCACCTTAGTTAGAAATAAGCATATGTAGGCCTAGCTAGGCTTACTTGCTCTCTATCGGGGGAGGGGGCGTGTTCTAAGAAGCCGTTCCCCAAATTATAACCTCAATTACCTCTGTAACCATGGGCAAAAAAAATCGTCATAAATATGAAAGCATAATTTTTTTTAACCAAACACATTTTATTTCTGTAGAAAACAACATATTCCACATAATGTGTAACATTTATGAGCATAGGAATTTTTTTAGTGTCGTTTACATGGGGTTTATGGGGAAAAAGTACCCTTTTTGGGCCCCTAAATTGCAATTTTGGGGCACATGACCTAGGTTAAAAAGTCAAACAATTTTGCTATTTTTCGGAAGCCCAAAACATTTTACTCAACAATCAAACCCAACATTTGCAGAAAGTTACAGTCATAAAAATTTACTACGCGTTTTTCAGAAACCTATTAAAACCCCTTAAGGGGCCCCAGCGAACTAGAATAAATCCCCTTGGGACTTCAAAGGGTTAAGTATTATCTAGACATAAGTTTGGTGTGAACCAGGCTAATGTAAAAACTCATTTGATTTCTTTTCATATAAGTATATTGTGTGCTACAAAAATACAATAGTGATAACTAGATAACTGTAGAACACAGCTGGGCAAATTGCGGCACGCCTTCTTTTTACAGCCCAACATCAATCATATCTGCAATAATTAACATTGAAACTGAGAATTAAGCGTTATACTGTAATTAGCAATTTATGAAGGTTTTTCGGGAGATGTTACAGTTTACTGTAGGTGTGGCCTACAGTGTTAAAACAAAAAATCCACTTTAGCCTCCCCCCCCCCCTCCCACGACCCATTTCATGCTCCTCCAACCCATTTTTATGACCACCCCTGCTGTTGAACATTGGTATAGTACTGTGGAATGTGTGAAGAAACAAAACAATTACATTGTCCTGAAAATTATTTATTAATTTCTTTCAGTGCATCAGAACATTTGACAATAATTTATTAAGAAAGGGATGGTGATTAATTTTTTATGGTGGTTGCTGATCAGTAGTATGCAAAATATGGGAAATTTAGGGTGAGATTGACAATATGTTGGGGAAAGGAGGTTTAACAAAGGTTTTGCTAAGATTAAACATTTACTGTACTGTAGGTGGGATCTCAGAATAGTAGTGACAATTTGTGCAGTTGGAGTTTACAAGAGGATGCGGTACTGTAGATCTTCCAACATCCAAGTACAAAAAATTGACCTTTACATTCATTTTTTTAAATGTTTTATCATGAAATACTAATGTCCCCCCACATTCTCATGTGTGAGGAGTGAAAATTTGAATCAGGTACATTGATGGTACAAATCTGGGTTGTGGAGGGATAAATATTGTTGTTCTAAATATTTCAGAGTTAGAGATCTTGGTGATATGGACATTTAAAATGAATCGTCTCTGTAGTAATGAATATTGTCTTCATTTTTTTTTTTTTTTAGTTAATAGATCTGTTTGTTTGTAGCTGCCAGTGAAAACACCATTTGTTTTTCAGATGAATCTAGTTTTTTAAATGTCATATAAATTTCTATCTCTACGAAGCTGATTGAAGTCATTAGCCTAAATCAGTGTCGTACAGTGTCAAATGTACTAATGCAAAACAAGAATCTTGTATAATGCATGTTTACCTGAAAATTCTTCGCATAATAATTCTCAGATTCCTGTAAGCAACATTAAATTGCGCCAGTTAATTGAGAAGTCACTGTTTTTACGAGAGTAAATATCTTGTAGATGAATGATGGCCAATTTTTTAGCGTAATTTTCAGGAGCAACTGTTCTGTGAGATAACGGTGCTAATTAGGTAGTAGATGATAACCATGGTTAACTATTTCGCAAAGCAGTTAACAGTTTGATTTCCTGTGTGTGACGTCTGGGACTCAATCCCTCACTGCTTTTTGTTAATCTCTTTGTGGGAGGGCACTTCATCAGCATTGGTTCCTTCCATCCAGGGTATTAATGGGTACCTGATGGAGGTGGCTGCTATTGCGCCGATACAACAGCAACACTTTATGTGGACAGTATCCAATGACTTAGGTTAAAAAAATGCAAAATATATGCTCACTAAAACGTACATACAGTAAAGCTATGTAATTAACTTTAGTGAACAAGCAAAGAAACATTCATTTAATACTGTTTCAATACTACAGTACAGTATGCTGGTAAATTATTTTGCCCTTAAAACAAATAAATCTCTACTTCACATTATTACCCCATTCATGGAACAATGCCATATGGCCCACATATCTCCTTGTGGAGTATAATTACCATGTTTATTCGAATAAACGCCTGCTTTGAATAAACGCCCCCCTCGAAAAAAATTGCATAAATGCCTGCTCTAGAGCCTCCTTTGGAGTTAATGCCTACTGTACCTCAAATAAGCTTCCTGTGTATTTATTTTTTTTCCCAAATAAATGACTGTAAACAAATCTAATGGAAGCAACACATTCTATTAATGTTCTACTCTAGTAGAATTACATTTTTTCGAACTTGGTTGGGATCAACATTAGTCTGTATAGTTCAATTACCAATTACACGTTTTGATGGTAATTATGTGTTGTAGTTCCACATTTACAGTGAAATTAAAGGCCGTTTATTAGAGTACTGTATATATACAAATTCATTTTACACCAAAAAAAGTAATCAAATCCCTTGAATATATTATATGCATCCCTGGAATAAACACAGCCCCTCAAACCCTTCTCAACAATAAATACGGTAATTAATTTGCTGCAGAAATGAGTCAGTGCATTGGTGTTTTAACCTTTTAGGTACCCATTTATATTTTTGGGTGGAGGAACAAACATGGATTTAGTGCCTTGCACATCCACAACTGTTGCTCCACCAGCCACTTTCATTTATGATTACAGTAAAACTTGCCTAAGTCAACTTTCCCTATTTTAACTCCAATAATTTCTAAGTTGATCTTATTTTACATGCCAAATTTTCGTTATTTTCAATTAATTAACAAATCTGAAAGTCAAATTTTATCTACTGTAAAGTCAAACAATTTTTCAATGCCAATGGCATTTTCGATTTGACTTTGGCAAGTTCAACAGTATTAAATAATAATGTTTCTCTTTTTTTTTCCCTTTTTTTTGTGTAAATCTTTATATAATTAAAAGGAAAATAGCTCAAATTTTTCTTCTATTTTTTCTAGTGTTCATAGATGGATTACAGATAAAGTAGGATAACTATCAGCTTGGCAAGAATGGATACTGAATTAAATGAGCAATGTTGCAGTCATCCTGAATCAAAACAAGATTTAGGAGTTAAAATTGAGGCAGAATTAGAAACAACAAGTGAATGCTGTCAATTAGTCTCACAGAAAGATTTGCATCGTACCTGCAGTGAAATCCCCAGTAACTCCCCACTCCCTGAATCTGTAACACCACAAAATGAAACTACAACTGATCACTGTACTCAAAATACACATGAGGGAAATTACTCAATTCTAGAGAATCTTAAAGAATGTTCTAATTTCCAACAACCTAATTCTACTGGTTCAACAAAAATGGAATGTGACAATAGTGAAGAAAATGTTGTCACTTCTGAAGTTGAACCAAAGACTACCTCATTGACAGGCCCTGCAATAGAAAAAAACCCATTGCCAATATCAAGAGCTGCCTTTGACCAAGACGATGCTATTCACAAGATAGATGTTCATATGGAAGAAAAGGTTGGTTGAGATTTTTGTCAGTGTGTTGTACAACAATTTTTTTTTTTTTTTTGGTGAATTGAATTATTTTTTAGCAAAAGTGTATACTGTCAACAACTTCTATTTGTGTTAAATTTACCGTATTAAAAGAAAACATCAAAGCAGTTCCTGAGGACAAACTTCACATAAATATAGTCAAATAGTGATTAAAAAATATTGTAGTTGACACTAATATCACAGTTGAACCTGATGACGATCATAATGGTAGGTACTGTAATGATTGTGGTGATGTGATTATAATGGTAATGATGATGACAGTGATGTGATCAATTGGTAGTGTTCCAAGTCATATTTTAGGTTGCAATATGCTGGGGTGGCCCGAAGTGGGCATTGTTGGGCGTCTCTCAAAATGTCTTTTTAGTGGTTCAGGGGGCGAAGTCCCCTCATATAGGGTTTCAGGCTTGTATAGTCAATTTTATAGATAGTCTACAAATAATAGGTAGAAAAAACATTTTTTTTCTCCCTGATGAATTGTGGTTTTTCTTCTTTTTTGGGGGTTGGCGAAGGGTAGGGACAAGAAAATTATATGGGGAGAAAATGCTCCCCTTTCCCCCTGCTAGCACCACCACTGATTGTAGTGAAGTGATAATCATTGATAACGATGATGATGTGATCATTTGGCAATGTTGATGATCGTGATGATAATCATACTTTAGTAGTGGTTATGGTGATGTGATTTTAATGTTAATAATGGTGGTGATGGTGGCAGTGATGTGATTATAATTTTAATGATGATGATTCAGATTATTTTATACTTGAATTAAGGTGGTGTGATTTGGTAATGATGATGTTAGTAATGCGATTATAATAGTTAATGATTATGGTTGTTGTAGAGGTGTAATGATATTAATGTATAAATAATGATTAATGAATAATTATGACAGTCTTGTTGAAAATTGAAATGGTCATGAGATCATTTCGTTTTTCAACAAATGACAAGTACTGTAATGTCATGTTCTTTTTCAGAACCTCATTTCTTCAGATATTTCCTCTTCGTCTAGTGATGAGACCAGCAATGAGTCCGAAACTGAATCTTCAATATCTGGTTATGAGGTGCACTCAAATAATGAGTGAGTACATTAATAGAGTACTGTGTATGGCTCAATTGAATGACCTTGAATATTGATATTAATATATACATTCTAGGTACACTTATCGCTTTGTATCCAACGGAAAAAGCGTGGTACACAATGCTTGGCTATTAAATTGGTTGTGTTTTTCATAAGCGACATGACTAGTAGAAAGTTAATATTGGCTTCCATAAAATCGCTACACTGTTGTTCCCAGTGCAGTTGGAAAGGCTCTCTGATTAAATTTCTTGGTGACAAATCAGCAGATTTGATTCCTGTTCAACTCTCCTGATTCATTGGGAAAATTTACAATGTGAATATTATGTATCCCAGTATCTTTTGAGGTCCAATTTTCTCTTTTGTTTGGTTGTTGTGCATTTTGAAGGGGGTTTTTTTTGCTTTAAATTTATTATGAATGATACTAATAATCACTATAATAAATAATAATTTCACGTTTTTTTTTTTCTTGTGCAATATTCGAATAAATATTTAAGTAATGAATATTTTGAATTAAAACTATTTTTATAATGATAATGAATTTGGAGTTTATATATTTCTCTTTTTGAATGTCTTTTTTTATTGTCCTGTGCTTTTTTTTTTTTGAAATATGAATTTTTGCAATTATTACTATAATTAATTATGACCATTTTGGATTAAAGATTTGAATGTCAATGTTTATAATAATGATTTCTTACATTTTTAAATATTTCTTTTTATGAATATTTTTATTGGCCTATGCTTTTTTTGCTTTTATAGTATTTGTATGTATATTGTAAATTGTTGTTCTTTTGCTTAATGTAACGCCTGCTTTTCTGCTATTTAAAGTATTTCTGTACCTATTGTGAATTTTTTTTTGCTTGTAAATATATAACGCAATTTAGTTCTTTTTACTACAATGTTATATTTGGCAATTTCTTTTTACCTTTGTATTGTACTTTTTGAATTAATAAATATACCATGAGAATGAAATGATGATGTTGTATTGCATGGAATTTGCCTCATTGTTGATATCTTTATTCAAAATTATACATTTGATGGTGATGACAAATGATGATGATGATGAGGAGGAGGATGATAGGAAAGGGGACAACCACCGGCAATGCGGCGACAATTAAATATGCACTAGATTGCAATGCCTTTTATTACTGCAACAATGTTTGTAAGGATTTTCTTTTATTATTCCAAGACAAATTGTGTAGGGAAATGTGTCTATTCAAACACATCAATATGCATTAGTGACAGCTGTTTCATCAAAATTACAAAAAACATTTAAGTAAAAACTTCATTATCCAAATACATCTGTATACTCGGTGAAAAATAAAGTACTGTGTCGTCTTAATTTGCATCATTTTGTGATTTCAGAGCTGGTAATGAGGTTGAGGAAAAATCCATCCAAGTCCCACATCCACCAGCAACAATCAGAGAAATACAAATTGAGGTGAATTTGTGGGAGTTTTTTAAGGAAAACTCCGAATGATTTGAAATGTTCTGTTCTGTCAAATATGTTGTCTTTTATATAAATAAACAAAATGAATAATTTACTTTCATAATTTGCAACTTAAAAAGCATTTAAACTCTATAAAAGTTGACATACAAAACAGAAAGTTGGTCAACAGTAGCTTAAACAAATAAATAATCAAAGATTCCCCCCCCCCAAAAAAAAAAAAAATCCCCCCCCCCAAAA